GGCGAGTCGACGAAGCCTCGGAGACACCCGCCTCCCTGCATCTCCTCAACCGGCAGCTCTCCAAGACACCACCACCTGTCTGCCCACTGGTGGACAGCACGGGGAGCAGGATTTACGACGCCCAAACTAGAGCGGACTTGATGGCACAGCACCTAGAACAACAGTTTATACCCAACAGCATAGCAGAGGGGTACGCAGACCACGTACAAGGCATAGAGGACCGCGTACGGGAATACCTCTCTAACCCGGCGCCGCCATTGCGAGGCGGCGATTTCATATCTCCAGTAGAGGTAAGGCGCACTATTATGCGCCTACCTAGCCGTAAAGCGCCGGGTTACGACGGCATCACCACCACAGCCATAACGCAGCTGCCCAGAAGGGTAATAGTGGCACTCACCAGTCTGTACAATGGCATCCTGCGGACTGGCCACTTCCCGACCATCTGGAAGCAGGGCAGAATCATCGTGCTGCCGAAGCCGGGAAAAGACAGGAGGTTCCCGGCCAGCTACCGCCCCATAACGCTATTGCCGCACATAGCAAAACTCTTCGAGAAAATCACCCTGAATAGGGTACTCCCACATGTTACCCTGCGGGAGGAGCAATTTGGCTTCCGCAGGGGACATTCAACCACGTCTCAGCTGGCCCGCGTGCTGCACTATCTTGCGGCCGAATATAACTTCGGCCGCACCTGTGTGGGGGTCCTTCTCGACATGGAGAAGGCCTTCGACAGGGTGTGGCACGCAGGGCTAGTATATAAACTCATACACAGTACCACCTTGCCGCCAATGCTTGTGCGGCTAATAGCGTCATTCCTGGAGGGGCGGAGCTTCCATGTCGCCTTGGAAGGGGCTGTTTCGGCGGCACGACCGATTTCTGCGGGAGTGCCACAGGGCAGCTGCCTATCACCGCACCTGTACGCGGTCTACACCAACGACATCCCCACCCTCCAAGGCCATCTGGAGGAATGGGAGGATGACGTTGTCCTAGCCTTGTACGCCGACGACAGTGCGTACTTCGCGTCATCACGTCGGGTGGACATAGCTGCTAAGAAATTGCAGCGGGTACTCGACCTCTTGCCAGAGTGGCTGGACAAATGGAGGCTGGCGGTCAATGTCGGGAAGACCGTCGCCTTCATGACCAGGCTGGCCAGAACACCACCAACTCTGCAACTCCGCGGGCAGGATGTGGGTTGGAGTAGTACCATTACGTACCTAGGATGCCAGATAGATCGCTCGCTGCGCATGACCCCGATGGTCAATCACGTTGTGAGACAGGCCAGAGCTGCGCGAGCGAAATTATACCCTATACTGGCATCCAAACTCCCAACAAGAACGAAAATAGGTATCTACAAAACCTACATCCGCTCGCGGCTGACCTACGCAGCACCAGCCTGGTACGCGTTGACCTCGGCCACTCAGCGCAAGAGGTTGCAGGCCCAGCAAAATCTTGCGCTCCGGGTGATCGTGGGAGCCGGTCGCTACGTCAGGAATGACATCATTTCTCGCGACCTCAAGGTCGAAACCATCAATGATTTTGTGGTCCGTTCTGCGAGACGGTTGTTCGACCGCGCAGACAACGGGCCACACCTACACCTTCAAAATCTTGCTCCCCTCCACGCCCGCCCACCTGACGGGCGACCACTCCCACGTGAACTTCTACGCTCACTGCCCGGCACAGGGGACGCCGGGGGTGAGTGAGCGTCCCGACACTCGACGTGATGGCGCGAGGTGCGCAATACACCTACATATAAGCTGCCAACGCAGCACCCAAGACCGGGGGGTCGTGTCCTCCTGAGATGCCGCCCATGTAAAGAGGGTCTCCTCGACACATGAATAACCTCCACAAGGAGATGAACCACCACTGTCGCCACCAAGGTCTCCTAAGTGTGTGCTGTTTGAGGATTAGCAGTGGTCCCAAGCAGCCGCTGGTACGACATACTCCACCGATCGTCGAGCCCGCATGCTCCGTGAGGTGTGAGGTCACCAGCCCTTAGTGTAGATCTTTGGCACTAGAGAGCGTTCTCGGCTTTCAAAGTGTCAAGTCGCGTTCCCAGTGCCACCTATTGCACTTCCCCCAACCCTTTCGTTGTGAAAGGGGTAGGCAGTGCGCCCAAGTGTTGCGGTCGTCACCTTCGCTCCCAGCTTTACCTCGCGGCGCGCATCGAGTCAACCTGCTAGGTAAAGTATATAGACGTAAGACACACGTACACCAACCAAACAAAACAGTTGTAACATGTCGGGTAAGGAGAAGGGGGAACCCCCCCCACCCCCCCGTGGTAGGAAACCCCCGGACCGCCCGGGTATTTTGGATCGTCCACTTAGGATTAGGAATCTGCAGAACCCGGAACGGTCAACGGTAGTGGCTTCGTTTAGCCATATTCCCAAAAGGAAGCCTTCGTCGCCGCAAGACCCCGCATCGAGCGTCGCGCTCACGCCCACCGCACCTGAGCGTCCGAGTGGACGGGAACCGTCGCCCTTACCTCAGCGGGCGAAGAAGATGTCGCGAAGGCATACACCGCCAGAAACAGAAGACTCCCTGCATGAGAAACGGCAATGCGTGGAGGCATACTGCTACACATCTTCATCAGAAGAGGAGGATCTACAAACGGCACAACGTTTTAGAACGCCACCTAAATCGCCTAGTCCGCGCAAAACTACTCCACCAATTTCACCGGAACGAAGAAGCATTGCAGATATGGCAGACTTCGATGGAGGTGAAGAATCCTACGGCTGGGGATCTACAAAGTCAACGACTTATGCAACCCTAGCCCCATTCGCCGGAGGATCCCCCCCCGCGCCTACCACCAACCCCTCTGGCCTCCATATGGACGACGGTCAGAGGCCTTCTACAAGTTATGCTCAACTGGTAGCTGCCCCGGCAGTACCACGACCGAAATCGCCGGAAACTGCAACAACGCAGGAAGAAAACGACAAAAAGGAGAAAGAAAAGGCACGCTATCCTCCTATAGTCGCCGAGTGCCTCCCGAACTGGACGAAACATTTCGAAGAACTTAACAAGAAGTTAGGACATCCGCCGAATGCTCGTCCGTTCGGGAAAGGTGTTAGATTTACACCACAAAGTCCGGAAGAGTTCCGGACTATACAAAAATACTTGATCCAATTAACAGAAGAGCAACCATCAATGTCGTGGTACTGTTACACCCCCGAGGAAGACAAGCCCACAAAAGTGGGCATCCGGGGGCTACCAGTGGGCACAGATGCAACCCATATAGGCGAGGCTATTAGGGCAAAGGGATTTCCACTTAAGTATGTGAAAGAAATCCCCCCTCGTAGAGGCAGACCTGGATGCCTCTACTTCGCCCAGCTGGACCACCTGAGCCTGGAGCAGCTCAAAGAATTGTATGCAATCGACGAACTACTATTTATGAAAGGAATAACCATAGAAGCCTGGCAGAGAAGAGTAGGCCCAGCACAGTGCCACCGCTGCCAGGCCTTCGGTCACGCGTCCGCAAACTGCTTCAGGCCAGTGAAGTGCGTCCGCTGTGGAGATAACCACATCGCCAGCAACTGCCCTAGGGGTAGAGATGAAGAGCCAAGATGCGCAAATTGCGGTCAAAACCATACGGCAAATGACCGCCGCTGTCCGGTTCTGAGGAAAATAGCAAGAAAACAAGGGATCACCCTACCGGGACTACAACCGGAAGCCCCTAGGGGGGTCCCTCCACCTCCCATGGCCCCACCGACCCTCAGGTCATACGGGCCGAATCTCGGGAGATGCGCGCGGTACTTGCTCGTGGCTCTTTTCCCGCGCACACTTTCTTGACTCCCTACAAATATTTCATCTATTCCTTGTCCCAATTTTACGTCACTCTCCCCCTTCTGGGGCTGACGGCACTATAACGCCTACGACATCGGGCCCTCCTACCAGCATTCTCTCCTGCCCCATTCCACGATCGCGACACCCATGCGCAAAACTCTGAGGGACCCCCCCTAGGGGGGTCCCACCACCTCCCATGGCCCCACCGACCCTCAGGTCATACGGGCCGAATCTCGGGAGATGCGCGCGGTACTTGCACGTGGCTCTTTCCCGCGCGCACTTTCTTGACTCCCTACAAGTTATTTAATCTGTTCCTTGTCCCTGTATTTACGTCATTCTCCCCCTTCTGGGGCTGACGGCACACTGACGCCTACGTCGTCAGTCCTGTCTGCCAACATTCTGTCGCTACTTCTCCTGCGGTCATGCCATCTGTGCGCAAACTCGCGCAACAACCTGTAGTTCACCTCACCGCTGACGAGATCCGAGTAATAGACCGGTCCCTGAACCGACCGAACTAGTCCATCCATCATTTTCGTTCTTAGGTCGGCATACAGAGGACATTCCCATAGAACATGGTGAACGTCCTCCTCTATCGCACCACACTCACACATACTTGTTTCACACAGTCGCATTTCACTCAGTCTCTTCCGAAAGCATCCATGTCCGGTGAGAATCTGGGAGGTTTGATAGTCCGGTGAGACCCAGGTATACCTGAGTCTCAACGCCACCTCCGGGAAGAATCGATTGAGCTCGCGTCCTTTTGAGTCATTCATCCATCGATCCTGCCATACACCGATCACCTCAGTCCAAATTTCGCGTTTCCGCCTGCTCAACTCCTCTTTGGGCACGTTCATACGTGCCATACCCATCCTACCAGCACGGATGACCTCCAGGTCAGCAGGAAGAACACCAGCCAGCACCGGCAAGGCCGCCGTGCTAGTGGATCGGTACGCCTTGGTCAACAATATAAGGGCGGTTCGCTGCGATCTGAGTAGTGCACTGCGAACTGCGTACATGTTCGCACGCTCGTACCAGCACTCTGCCGCGTACGTAAGCGTGGATACATACACTCCTCTATAGATTATTTTTAGGCTCGGGTATCGGACGCCCCATGATGACGTCGATACGCGAGACATTTTACCGAATCCCTTGGTCGCTCTTTCAGAAATATCGGACGCGTGTTGCACAAACGATAGTCCCGAATCCAAAACCACGCCTAGTACCTTAGTATTGGTCACATTCTTGATGGATTCTCCACCAAGTTTAATAACGGGGGGGCGCTGAAGTTTCCCTCTAACAGTCATTGTGGTCGACTTTGATGAGGAGAACTCCAGTCGATTCCTTAGCCCCCACTCCCGTACAAGGTCCAGAGTGACTCGGGCCCTGGATTCGATACCCGCTCTGGTTTGTGATTCAATGAGAATAGTGACATCATCAGCATAGGCGGTCATTGCTACTCCCTCAGGCAGAGGGAGTCGGAGTAGGTCGTCCATCAATACGTTCCACAGTGTAGGGCCCAGCACGGAGCCTTGAGGACATCCCATGGTCGACGTCTTCCACTCCACCCGGTCACCGATGAAAAGGCCGACACGTCTGGAGGTGAAGTAATCCACCAGCATTTTGTAAATGTTGGGTGGACAACCACCTCGTTTCGCCTTAACCATCATCATCGGCCACCAGGCGTTGTCGAAGGCGCCGGAGATATCAAGAAAGATTGCCTGCACGTAGCATGCCCGAGAATACTTTGCCGTGCTGAGCAAGACACGCAGCGCTGTTACCGTAGATCGCCCCGGAGAAAATCCATGCTGGTATTCTGATATCCCACGACTAATCGCAGGAGCACATCTCAGCATTACGCGTTCTAGCAACTTTCCCAAAACAGGGAGGAGCGTAATTGGACGGTATGCCTTGGCGTCGGTGAGCGGCTTGTCATTACCCTTGGGAATGACAATCAGTCTTCCGTCCTTCCATACCTTGGGAAAAACTCCCTCTACTACACACTTAGCATACACCAAGTGAAGTTCCCTTGGTGCTGCCATCCATATATTCCTCACGATTCTCGCACTTACCCCATCGAGTCCCGGAGCTGTGTTAGGCAAGGCCTTGACTATACCTCCCAGGTCCCCAACGGTGAGTGGAGGCGCAGCCCCACCAGACGGCACAAATGCCGCCAGCAAACGGACTTGCCGGTGATAAGCCGTGTCGCAATCAGGGCTATCATCCGGACAGAGCGTAGACATTAAATTTTGCATCGCCGCTTCCAGTCGGTCCGGATGCCCACCCGCAAAGGCAATCCCGTTAATTACATTAGCAGGCGGACGCACCCTCCCACTGGCTAACCTGTATGACAGGCCCCACGGGTCCTCATTACCAGTGTTGGCGACCCTTATGTGCTGCGACTGCTGCGCCTCCACCATCATCTTCCTGTATCTCGCACGTATATCATGAAAAGCCATTCTTGCTATCTCCTCAGACCTACCTCCCAAACGCCTTTTACTCTGCCACGCACGCCTTAGTTTGCACTGCAACTTCCGAGTTTTCTCTAATTCAGGTGTCCACCATTCATATCCCCCCGACCCCCTAGGGCGACGCTCCCCTAGGCCTTCCTCCGCACAGCGGGTGACGACCCCTGAAAACTCCTCCGCCAGGAGGGCCGCGGGTTTTTCCACATGCAACCATCCCATTCGTAACTTGACAATCGTCCGGAACCTGCACCAGTCCACCCCCCGGTCACGAAAACGGGGGGGATCCCTAACAGGTGTATCGCGAGTGCTAGGCCTGCTGGTGGTGGCTGTGAATGTGATGAGGTTGTGGTCACTGGCGCAGATCCCCTCGTGCACTCGCCACTCAGCAACATAAACATCACCCGTGGTTAATGTGAGGTCTACATTAGACTCCCCTCCAGACCCTGAGTAGGTGTAAGGCTGGCCAGGCTGGTTCACCAATGTTAATGCCTGTGAAAATATGAAGTCTTCCATCTGTTGCCTTCTGTGGGTGACATTTTGACCTCTTCCTGTATAGTGCCGTCTGTCACAATGCCAAAGTGGCGAGTGCGCGTTGGCGTCGAGGCCGACGATGACCCTTCTGCCCTTTAGGCAACTCAGGGCGCCCTCTAAGTGGTGCAGGTGGTCGTCGATGTGGTCACTAAACTTAAAATACGCTGACACCACATAGAGGTCCCATCGATTGACGTGGCACACCACACAAAATTCATTACTCAGATGATTTAGCACGGCTACACCAATTGTCGGGTCAGCCAGATAGATGCCCGCCCACGGGTGACCACCCACCTGGACGATCCCTGCAGCCTGAGAGTACTGTTCTTGTATAAGAACAATGTCCAGGTGCAGTTCACGCGCCAGGATAGGCAACTCAGCCGAGGCGAGCTCACCTCGACCCAGGTTAATTTGCCCGATATGAACTTTCTCTCCCAATATTCTTGTAGGAGCGCCCTTACCGGCAGTATTGGGTGGTGGCCACGGAGCGTTGCTCTGCGTATAGGCGTGCTGGACAGTTCCGCGCCATTGTCACGTGCGAGCCAGAGTCAGCTCGGCCAAATCGCTTGCACGTGGCGCACTTCTCCTCTGTTGACTTGCAGTCACCTCGTTCGTGGCCTGCCTCTCCACACTTTCCGCATGTCACCTCCTTTGACCGGCAGTATTTTGCTGGATGCCCATACTGCTGGCATCTCTGGCAGCATGTGACATCTACGTAGTCACATGGCTCAACCACGTCCCAGCCAACGTACAGACGATTATGTCCGACCAGTGCATCCCTTAGGGCAGCCGAACACTGCAGGATGACGGTAGTCCGCCTGCTTCCTCTCCAGGACTTCTTGAAGGCAATCCTACAGTTCTCCTTGACCTTTTCCTCACTCCATCCGCAAGCAGCAAGATTTTGCTCGTAAAGAGCACTTATTACCTCTTCGTTTTTTGGGTCTTCTTCAAATCCCCTCAAGGCAACCAGGGGCAGGCGTTGCTTAGGCTCAGACACCCTCAATGATGGAGGGGCTGAAGTCTTCAATTTTTCAGCTGCTTCCTGGGACGTGGTTTGGACCACGACACCAGCGTTTCCCACCTTCCTCAGCTTGTCAATCTGGAGACCGCTAGACTTAGGATTGATTGTCTTCTTGAGTTCTACTTTCGTGTCTTCAGCGGTCTTAATCGGTCCCTCTGCCTCTGCTGGATAAAAGGCCACGACTGGGCCCTTGCTTACTGGCATCATAACTTTATCCAACCCTTTCGGTAATCTCAGTGCCGACGAGTATGACCGTTGTGGTGCCGGGTCCGTCACGTGACATTGAACTGCTCCAGCCTCGACCTGCGCCAGTTTAGCTTCCGCTGCGATCTTTCCTTGCTCAGCTCTGAGCGCTGCCAGCTCCAGTTCGGAGGTGTGTATCTCCATGGTCGCCACCATGGCTATGAGGTCATGGCCGTATGCAGCTACCTTGTTAATTTCAGTTTTGTTCAGCTTAGATCCTGGCCCTGTGATGATGCCCATTATACTCCTCACTGTATCACGGACATGGTCGATCACCTCCAATTTGGTCGCAGCGGTAGCCTTGAAGCTCCTCCTCACACCCTGGGAGGCCTCCCTTACGCATTCCTCCTCTTCCGTCGTTGCAGCAGACTCCTCAATTTCCCTGGTCGACGGACCTGCCACTGAGGCCACACTCCGGCGAGGCTCCGTTCGCTTGCCCACCCTAGCCCGCTGGGAGGATGGCTGAACCTCTTCCGGTGACGGAAGAGGCCGCTTCTCTGGCACTACTGGTGGTGGGGGGGGCACCGCGACTGGCCGGCCGAGCGGGGTCGGCGGGGTCCTGGCCAATGATTTACGAGGAGTAAATAACTCCTCGTCATCCGCCATTTTACCACACAATATATATAAAAGTCAGACAATGCAGATTAAAAGTCAAATACAAAAAACGGAACGTAGATTGTCAACGTCAAACAAAGTGACAGATGACAACTGTCAACTTCAAACTCAATGTCAACGTCAGTGTCACATTCACTGACAGCTGTCACTTTCAATAATGACAAACAATGGCCACGTGCTAGCACACTTTAACCTAATAAGTTCAAATTGTTTTTAAGATAAAATTAACACTATATATATATAATAAATGTACTTACAAATAATTATCCATAACAGCAAACAATTGAAATAAACACAAAATATAAGTACTTAACTTTAACAACCATGCGGTGACCGCGTGGTCTTAACCTATAAACACGTGTTAATTTTCACATTAAAATGTTTAAAAAGAATATACACACATCACAGTTTATTCTGTCCAATACAATAAAGTTTAAAAAGTTCAGGAATTAAAAATTAACACTATATTATTGAAATCACCAATAATACTTAAATATTAACGACACGAGGTCACGCGAGAGCGCACTAATACGTCCGCTCAGTACGAATACCGACGACGTAGTACCTAGGGGGGTCCCTCAGAGTCGCCCCAGAACAATTGAAATGCAGGAAGATGGATGGGCAACGGTGAGAGGGAGGGGAAGACAACCCCCCCCACCCCCGCCACCTCCCGCAGAACAAACGCAGATGGAAGCACCGGAAGTAATCGCTCCTAGAACAGCAACAACAGGGGCGACCTTGCAGCCACCCGCTAACGATGCCACAGAAAGGCAACCAAAAAAGCGGAAGCGGGTGCGCAGCAAAAAGAAGAAAGAAGAACCTCCTCAGGCCGCGGCAGCGACCTCTACCCCTACCCCAGCGGTAACAATAGCCCAGGCGCAGGTTATCAAGCAGACAACTAGCATGGGTAGAGCGCCAGGAAGGGCTCTATCAGAAAATAGAGCCCGCTCTACATATAGAGAAAGAGCACGCTCTACCCAAAGGAGAGCAGAGATTCCAACACCACACCCGAGGCCAGTACCAACAATAACAACGCAAAGAAGACCACCTACAGCTGCCCCAGACATGACAGATGCCATCCAACGATTGGTTGGCATCGCAATAGAAGTGGGCAGCCAAGTCCTGGCAGATATCAGAGCCGGGACAGATCCGATAACTGCCATCATGAAGGCACTGGCGCAGCTACTGGCCCGGCACTACGGTGGTGTCGTGTAATTCAGATAACCTGCGCCTCCTATATTGGAACCCGGATGGCATTCAACAGAAGCTAAATGAACTCCGCACTATCGCCCAACAACAGGACATCCACGTAATATTGTTGGGCGAAACAAAACTACGACCTACGACGCATATAAAGCTGCCAAATTATTTTATATACAGGAGGGACGAGGTCAACGCTGAAGGGGCCGCCTACAGAGGCACGGCGGCCCTAGTAAGAAGAGACGTCGTCCACCTAGAGCTGGAACCACCTCAGTATCAATCTATGCGTTCAATCGGCATAAAAATGGAGGCGGCGGGCGAGGAACTAAGGATTTACGCAGCATACCGCCCGCCAACAACTCTATTCTGCTCCTCAGACATCCGGACAATAATGGAAGGTGAAACACCAACCATTATAGCAGGGGACCTAAATGCGAAACACCCGGCGTGGGGTTCTAGACTGATTAACCCGCCGGGTCGTGCACTATATGAAGACGCAGAAACAAACAACTATGATGTATTAGGTCCCGAAGAGCCGACGCACATACCAACCGATCACCGGAGGAGTCCGGATGTGTTGGACATCGTGCTCGCTAGGAACATCAACTGCCCGATAGTGGTAGAGGTGCTGTATGACACGGATACACAGCACCTCCCGCTATTAATTACCTTAGGTCTCAGGGCAGTGACTGCGCCTCCCAGAGCTTTCAAAACCAAGATCAACTGGAGGCTCTACCAAAAACATCTATTGGAGAGACCTCCAGTAACCACACAAATTAACACAGCGGACGACGTGGAGGCCGCTGCAACCAGATTATCAAGAACGATAAAAGAAGCCCTTGATGCGGCCTCAACGATCGTCCCACTTACAAACAAAAGAGAGGAACTACCGATGAAAATCAAAACAAAATTAAAAAGAAAAAGAGCGCTAAGAAGGCTCTGGGCGCGAACTCGCTGCCCAAGGATCAAAACGCAACTCAACAACCTATCTGAAGAGCTGTCGGTTGAAATCAAGGCACATAGAGGAGAGGCCTGGGAGCGATGCATACACAAAGCGGAGGAAGAAGATGCATCGCTCTATAAACTTAACCGACAGCTAACAAATATAAAATCACCTGTTTGCGCACTAATCAATAGTACTGGAGAACGTTGCTACGAGGCCAAGGAACGAGCGGATATCCTAGCGAGTCACTTCGAGGAGCAATTTATGCCGAACCCAGCAAGTGCGGAGTTCATGGAGCTTCATGCCCAAAAGGAGAGCCGCGTACAGGAGTTCCTGTCGTCGCCCGCGCCACCGCTTGCAGGAGAGTGGTTTGTTTCCCCCGCCGAACTGCGGAGGACAATAGCCCGCCTGCAACCGAGGAAGGCGCCGGGGCACGACCGGATCACTAACGCTGCACTCCGACAGCTGCCCAACAAAACAATTGTAGAGCTAGGAAGGCTCTACAATGGCATTCTGCGGACTTTCCACTTCCCGGAGAGCTGGAAAATAGGCAAAATTATTGTCTTGCCTAAGCCCGGGAAAGACAGGCGTAGAGCAGCTAGTTACAGGCCGATTACGCTGCTACCGCACATAGCCAAACTGTTTGAACGTATAATACTAAGAAGA